TATTGATGGTGACCTTTTTCTGCTCTCTGTCACAACTTTAACTTTTTTTTTTCGTTTTAAGGCTATACAGAAAGGGATTTAAGATGTCAAATTGATTCAAATAGAACTGAACTCATAAGAACTGAATGAATAGTTACCTGACTTCATGTAAAACATCAGTTTTAGAATGTTTTTATCTAGGCACTCCTCCATTGTTTTTTAGGTTTATGTTGGAAATTATACTTATGCAAGTTATAACTGCTCTTCATACTGCTTCAAAGACTGTTTATTTACTCATTTTTAGGAAATATTAGGTCACGACAAATTCCGAACGAAGTGCAATGGAGTAGCATGCAATCTAAATGAAAAAACAAACAAACACATAAAGATCGCATATGACAAGGTGAAAATCCTGACATGTCACCTGTGCATTTTTACATTTACATGTGTGTCAAGTCATATAGGTGAATTCTGCTTAGGAGAATGACGGCAGCTTCTTAATGGAACAGCTTACCAATGCGATTTCTACTCATGTATGTGGTGTGTGTGTATGTGTGTAAGTGTGAGTGTGTCTATGCATGGAGATTGCTTCTGGGAAGGTGGAATCAGTGAATATAAACAGATGTATGAAGGTCAGTGAAGGTGGAGGTGAACTCTGCTGCCATCAGTGTTCATGCCTCCTACCTACTCTGGCTCTGACCTCTCTCAACCCACCCCTTGAACGTCACACCCTCACACACACGGACACACACAAAAACCTCTCCATCTGACTTTATTTTATTTTAGTCTTCCTTATTTTGAATAGCCACACAAGTCTGATAATTGTTTCTGGACCCATCTTGAAATAATAAATAACTGATTTAAAACCATTCCAGTGTGCTTGCTGTTGGCTGAAGTGTTGGACTCAGAAAATTGATATCTAAGTGAGAACTTATACTGTTTAAACTAAAACTTTGTTGGCCTCCAACTACATTTCCCCCATTGTTAAAACAGAATCTTTAAACTGTGATTACATTCTGTTGTCGAGATGCTTACTTAATCAAGCGAAATAATTATATTTCCAATCACTGTCTTTCTCCTTATCTTCCTTGGTTTCAGAAAGAGGTTGTGGAGGTCCTTGGTGTTAATGTCACTGTGTCCTCTGCCCCCCCCCCCCTCCACCCACTCTTCCTATCGCTGCTTCTCCTCTGACCTTCTGTCTGCCTCCATTCCATCTTAAATTCTCTTCAAAGACATGGAGGAGGAGGTGGAGGAGAGAAGAGCTGGCCTTGAGTGCCCACTTCCAAAGTCACAACAGAGCATATGCAGGTGCATATCAAAAACACACACAGACACACTATAGCAAGTTCTCTCTGGCATCACACTCTTACTAGTCAGTGTGTATGGATATCACTTTAACACTCTAGATATATGAACACACATCACATACAGCAAGCCATCAAAAACACCCCATCACTCACTGACACCATGACTTTGTTCAATGTGAATATTTTTTTTTCTTTAATAAAAAGACAAACATTTAATTCCATAGAAATAAATACATGAATACCTAAATGTTCAGTTTCTAACTGGTCTCAAATTGCCTTTATCACAACAATTTTGCATAAGGCAAAAAGAAAATTGAACTGTCTTTGAAGAATAAGAAAGACACAGATGATTTTACTTTCATTCAAAGTTATGATTTATTTTTGATAAGCACTGTTTGGCACATACTGAAATCATTTTAAAATGACATTTTCTGAATAACACTGTTCAAGAAAAATACCAAGCATTTATTTTATTTTAGTTAAGCTGTTTAATTGAGACTGCAAATAATTTGAAAAGACAGGCAACACATACATTTATTCTTCATGCCATTAGTCAATAATGAAGACCTTAACAATATATAATTTGTTCCATCAACCACTCTTGCGTCCCCATGTTGTTTCAGTATTTTGAGATTAGACATCCTCTTCATATTTTTTCTCTGCACACACACATGCACACTCACACACCTTTCCGTTTCACCCCGCTCTGAACTTGCTCTCCGTTGACCGTGCAGAAAGCTAAATAAACATATGTGGCGAGTCATTCCCAGTGTGCCCCACTACCGCCACAACCACCTCCACCACTGCTCAGCACACTTGTCAGTACCACCCCCCTATGCCCCTCTTCTACACTCAGGTTTCACCTCTCTGCTTCCTACTGCTCCCAGTCACGCTGACACATGCTCTTAAACTCAACCTGTTGACTATATGGTACAGTGGTTGAAAAGGTACCTTTTTCCACTGAACTCAATGAATACTGTCACTATAGGTAAAGACTTAGGTCGGTGAGTTTGACATGCGCCAGCAAAAATGTCAGTTGAGGTGTCCTCATTGCAGAATAGGTTTATTGAAAAACTCAAACTTGCTAGATATCTGGACAGATGTCTGGTGGAGAGTTTAAATAATGATGCTGCAGTCCGTTAAAACTCCATAGAAGCGATACTGATCCTGTCTCTATCTCAGTGCGCTACGGCTGTAGAATTACTTTCTGTCAACAGAAAGACAGCTGGGTACATCTGGTTGTGTCGGGGCCTCCTACATCTCAATCCACACGTCATTTTGCCGGTGTCTGGGCCTCCGGTCTCGTTGCCACTGCTCACCTCATTACCATCAGAGCCACACCTCCATCTGTCTACTTAATATCTAAATCCTACTGCAGATTAGTAGTGGGAGTCTGGGCCTGGGGAGGGGATGGTGGAAAGGGGGCGATACTGGGGAGATGAGAAATAAAATCCTGGGGTAAGGGTTTGCGCATGGCACAGAAAATTAAATTGATACACACCAGTACTGTGTGGTAGCAGAAGACAGGGTACTGTTTTTGGGGTTGTGCAAGCATGTTAGAGGCTTAAGGCTACTGTACCTTGTGTATGTACGTGGTGACGAATAGACAAGGAGAGGTGGACAGATACAGAAAGGGAGATGCCATTGTGTGGTTTAAAATTTGAAGAGATTCCTTCCAACATTTCTGTTCTTCCTTATATTGTGAAACTTTACATAAAAATGACCTATTAGATTACCTATTTATCCTTTGCTTAGGTATCCATCGCTGGCCAAAGCTATGCTGTGAAAAACACTGCAGTTAGTCAGTTTTCCACGGGATCACTTGATCTGTCATTAGGGTTAGGGTTAGAGTTTGGGTTAGAACAACAGACAGGTTTATTTTTGACCAAAATCAAATCCTCAATATGATCTGAATAAGAAGTAAGGATAGCGGAAGATTTAAAGGAATATAATTTTCTGGTATTGATTTTTTGGTTTATTGTTTTTTTTATTTATCTTTTGTTACCATATTTTCTTTTGAAAAAATCTACCTAAAGTTAATGAGTGCACAGTAATACAGTGCAAGGAATACATACACATATATAAAGTACGGTTGATGGAGTTTAAAGGTAAACTCTTCCGGGATCATGTTCTACTATATATTTCCACTTTATTTTACATCAATCTTAGAATGTACATTTTTTTCAAGAATCTTTTTCCTATACAGTTGTTCTCATTTAACATAAATTGTTTACAGAAATCCAGTTTTTGAATATCAGTGGAAATTGTGTTAAATTTTAAAAAAGACTGGGAAAAAAAAACAACAAAAAACAGTTAGATGCATAACACTTTAACGAAAAGGATTACTCATTTTCAGGTTTTCTTGATGTCCTAACTTCAGTATTTGTTGACTGACCTCAGCTTTTTTGCTAGCCTAGGATACATGTGACTATATGGAATTGATTAAACCTGGTGATTTTTTTGTCTTTGGAATTGTCTGTTTTTAAGCATTATGCTAAATATTTCTGCAAAAATGGTTATGGTCTCAGATTTTGGCAGTCTTCTGCAGAAAAAAAAACTCTAGAAAATAAGACACAGGAAGAAACTTACAATTTGAATTTTACGCACACAAGCAAGTGCATGTTGGTTTTCACCCTCCAACAGTTAATGATGTTGAAACCACCAAAAAGATACTATTGTATCCCACTTTTTCAATTGCAATGCTAAAACTTTCCTGTGTAATAAAATTAAACAATTATAATAATTTATCTGTATCTAAAATTAATATTAAATAGGATTTAACAAATGATTTAACTGGGATTTATCGAATGATTAAAAATTAATTATATCAAGTTTTGTTCCTTATCGTCAGTATTACATTGAAAATACATAAGGAATAGAGATAAATATCACTTGAGAAACTCCCTGCATGCATGTTTTCTTTTTAAGTAGGGTGCAGAAGTTTAAAGCGTGATCGGTTAAGTCAAGAACACATTGAATGTGTCTGGAAAATATGTACAACTGTCCCTATAAAAGTAAAATATGTATTCCAGTGTCTTCTGGTACTGGTGACATTTTCGCTTCGACGTTGCACTTTGGCCTGAAAAGTTGTAGCATTGTGTCACCTGGTGGTCAAACGGTAATTGTTACCATCTATTCAACAATTTTCTATACCACTTTTTCCCAAAAGGTTTCGTCGGTTTGGACAAGGACAAATAATCACGCACACTCACACTCACTCCTAAGGTCAATTTGTAATGTCCAATCAACATAACATGCAGGTTTTAGGACGGTGGGAGGAAGCTGGACAACCTGGAGAACCCAAGCAGACACGGGGAGAACATGCAAACTCCACACAGAAAGCTCCTGGTTCCCCTGAGATTCGAACCCACAATCATCTTGCTGTAAGGCGATGGTGCTAACCAACACCCCATTATTATTATTATTATTATTATTATTATTATTATTATTATTATTATTATTATTATTATTATTATTATTATTATTATTATTATTATTATTATT